TGTGTGTGTGTGTGTGTGTGTGGATGTATGTGAACCTCTCATAACTTTTAAACGGCTTGACCGATTTGATCGCGGTTGGTGCTATTCGAAAAGGCTTGACCAAACTTAGATTTTGTATATACTTTAGAACGATTCGGACCGGTAGATTTTGAGAAATCGCAAAAAAACTACAAAAGAAATTTTTTTCGAAAATGGTTTTTTTGGAATAACTTTTAAACGGCTCGACCGATCGATTCCAAAAACTATTCAGCTCTTAACATAAAAAAACCACGTCGATCGCCGCCAGTCCGGTCAAAATCGATTGATTCGTTCGTGAGTTGTCGTTGACGAAAGAAAACCGAAAAAAGTGTTTTTTCTGAATTACTCCGAAATTTTTTGTTCTATCAATTTAAACATGAAGACTAGACCGGTTCAAAAAAATCGACTATTTTTTTTTCAAAATTCGCAGTGAAATATCTTCCTAGTCATGAAAAAAGAAGCCTGTGAAAACGGGAGCTCTTAATATCAATTTTGAAAGTTCTCTCACCGTAAATTTCTATTTTACATTTAAATAACATGGAAAAAAAAAATTTTTTAACTTTAGAATTTTTCTAACTAATTTTGGAATTTACATTTCGGGGTGATAGATACATATTTTTGAAGGAAATTGAATGCTCTAAATAAATTGTCTTTTGTTTTTTCTCTAAGTCTTCTCCTTTAAAAGTTATTCGAGTTTAAAGTTCAACATGTAATTAATTAAACCTTTTTTCCTTAATTTTTCTTAAATATTTTATAATTATTATTGAAAAAAAAATTTGTCTTAAAATATTAATTCATCAGGTTTAACGTCGTTGGCAGAGTCGGTGTTTATTGTTCTACTATGAGGAATAAATGACTTTTCAATTTAAAAAATTTGAAATTACTTCTCTTTTAGAAGTTTAAAAAAATTTGAATTGTATGTACAAAATTTTTCGGAAAAACGATCAACTGTGGTTTGTAGGAAATGTAGTGCACTTTTTTTATCGGTGAAATAGAGATGTGTTGCATTATCAACTTCCTTTCTTGTACTGTTGCTTAATTATTGTTCTGGTTCCTGGCTGTTTGTTATAATTACGATTTTGATGTATAAAAATTTAAAGATATTTCACTTTTTAAAAATTGTATTATTTTATTATCAATAATGGAAAAAAATGTATACTTAATTGGTGAAGTGAATAAAAATTTTATTGGACGTAAACTGCCCACAAATGGAGAGGTTGTGTCTGTATTTTTGTATGAGCATAAAGTGAATAAATTGATTTTAAAAGCAAGTGCTTGTGTTACTATAAAAAAAGTTGAAGAAAAATGGTTGCAAGCGGGACTTACAATTTCTAAAAGTTGTAATGCTATTCGAAAAATGCTGAAATTATTTGATACTTGGTTAAAATTGAAGAAAAATCAGCATCGAAAAAAGTCTCCTACGCAAAAGAAATCAGAGTTATTGTTCGTGGAAAAATCTAGGAAATTATTTGATGTCGCTCAGTTAAATTAATGCAAAAACTTGATGAAAATAAAAAACTGTTTTTAGCTGGTCAAAGATCAGATAAACGATATGGATTTATTGATGCAAATATTTCAAATAATCAAGTGGATGAAACCACAATGGAAATCGATGTTGATGGTAACTATTAAATTTATCTTTCATATCAAGATTTATTTTCATTTTTAAATAAAGTTTTTCGATCTTGAAATTTTGATTTTAATTTGAAACTCTATTTAACTAATTTTACTTCTAGATCTTAACCAGCCTTCGACTAATAGTAGTAATAGCTATCTGGATAAAAATGCCCTTTCACGAAATCAATCTACAAGTGGTACTGAAACAGCAACTGGTTGTAGTCAAAGCTCAGAAAATATTTCTGAGTACCAAGTTTCATCCAAAAAGCAAAAGGTGCCTCCTAAAATTGACGTTATGAACGCTGAACTTGCATCTGCTCTCGATCGAGCAAATATCAGTAACGGGGACTCTACTTATGTTTTGACTGCAGCTTATAAAAGCATCGGAATAAATATTGAAACACTTAATCTAAGCTGTAGCACAATTCGTCGAGCTCGTATTATGTACAGACAATCTATTACAGAACTCTTAAAGGATGAATTTAAAATTGAAGACCGCTACATTGTCCATTGGGATGAAAAAATTTTAACTGATATTGTCGATCCAAAGTCTGTTGATAGAATCGCAATATTATTATCTTGTATGAAAGCTAGCCAGCTTCTTGGCGTACCAAAAATTGTTAACGGATCCGCAGAAAACCATTCTGTAGCTATTTTAAATACGTTAAACACGTGGAACGTTGCGCCTTATATTAAAGCAATGTGTTTCGACACTACAGTAGTTAATACTGGTACGATTTCTTTTATTTACTCACTTACATTATTTGCCATAAATTAATGCTCAAGATGTTCTTTAATTTCTTGTAGAAATTTTCTTTTCCAGTCGCATAACATCTCTGCTCGAATTTTGGTTTCAAATTCGCATTACTTCATTTACGTTATTCGCAACTTTAAGTCATCTAAGCTAACATCTTATTTTCATTCAATTTTCAACTAAATTCATGCACGATTCTTTTATTATCCTCTACTTTGGCTTTATGTATAAATTAACGTTTCATTTACAGGCATATGTGGTAGCATTGCTGCATTGATTGAAAAAAAACTCAATAGAAAATTAATATGGTTGCCTTGCCGTCACCACATTTTTGAAATCGTTTTAAGAGATGTTTTTGAAGCTTTAGAGTTATCCCAGTCCGAGCTATCTAATAATTTTTCTCTCATATTCTATACACTCACATTAAGATGATCCTCTCCACAATCCTTTCTCAATCCTTTCCTACCAATTATCCTGTTACGTAAATGTTGGAACGCTTCACGTAATAAATTATCCGTAACTCCTATTCTTTCCCGCTTCACAGCATTATTTATATTTGGGACATTATATAGATCCTATAACATTAACTAAGTATGGAAAAAACGAAAAAAAAAATTTTTTTTTGTTATACGCTCTTATGGTTTTAAGAAAACATTTTTCTAAAGTCATAAGGGTGTATCTTGTTTTTTCGGTTAATTATCAATTATAGGTCAGAGTAAGAAAAAAAATTGCAAAGGTAATAGAAATTATCACTCCACAAGTTACTATCCGGTCTATACTAAATTTCCTTTCACTTATTCTATATACATTAAGCCACACCGTCCATCTTACGGTTAGCATTTTTAACATATATAAATAATGCTGTGAAGCGGGAAAGAATAGGAGTTACGGATAATTATTACGTGAAGCGTTCCAACATTCACGTAACAGGATATTTTGGTAGGAAAGGATTGAGAAAGGATTGTGGAGAGGATCATCTTAATGTGAGTGTATAGAATATGCGAGAAAAAATTATTAGATAGCTCGGACTGGGATTCGAACCCAGAACCTTCCGAAGACATGTCGGCTACTCTACCATTTGAGCTATCCGGTCTTAAAGAATTTGGTCCTAATGTTTCAATTTTTGGGCGATTTAAAACTTTCTGGGATAAAATTGACCAACCTAATTATGAAACTGGTATAAAAGACGAACTTGTAAACGATGCTGTGAAAGAAGAAAGGATCGAAATACTTATGTTTAGAAATAATCAGTTAACGATATGTTTTTAACATTTACACTCAAGTCAACAGATATCCACGCCGATAAATTATAATTAATGCTAACAACTCTTTCCTAGGTATGTCAGCCAAGAAGTGACTACAAAGAGCTACTAGAATTAGTTTTAATTTTTCTTGATGGTTCACTAGAACACACGAATAGTTTTAAGTGCCCAGGAGCAATGCATCATGCACGATAGATGGCTAAAGCCATTTACAGTTTGAAAATTTTCATTTTTAGAAATCAGTTTCCCCTTTCAAAACCTGAAATTAATAATTTACGTCATGTCTGTATTTTTGTAGTTTTAATTTATATTAGAGTATGGTTTTCATGTTCTTTAGCGATCCAAGCTCCTAATAATGATTTAGAAATGTTAAAAAAGTTAGTTCATTATAAGGATGTTAATCAATTAGTTTCACAAAAAGCGTTAAAGAAAATAGGGAATCATATGTGGTATTTGAACGAAGAATTAGCTCCTCTCGCATTGTTCGACCATAACGTTTCTGATGAAATAAAGAAAAAAATGTGCGTAGCTATACTTCAAAATCCGGAGAGTAAACTTATCAAAGACAAGCGACATGTTGCTGAAGGAAAGAATTTAGAATCTTTTTTAGAAAAAGACTTGAGTGCATTTGTTTCTACGAAATCATTGACGCTCTTTCAAATATTTGATTTACCCTATGATTTCCTTGATGTTGATGTAGGAATGTGGTCTGAGAATGAAAGTTATAAAGAGAATTTAGAATTTTTCAGAGGATTAACAGTGGTTAATGATGTAGCAGAACGGGGTATTGCATTAATCGAAGAGTACAATAATTGCTTAACGAAAAATGAAGAGCAACTCCAATATCTTCTACAAGTTGTACAAGATCATCGTCGACGTTTTCCAAATTTTAATAAAGAAACATTAAAATAATCATTAATTTATTTTATAATGACTTTTCTACTGTAATTTATAAAAAAAAAAGTTGTTTTAAAAAGAATGTTCAAGAAAGTGATACTTTAAAATTTGATATTATTATTTCAATAAATAAAAAAAGATTGTTCCTGAATAAGTGTCGTCTTTTTATCAAAATGTCATTGTTGGGTTAATGATATTTAATTGTTGTTAGTAGCATTTTATTGTTCATAGTTTTAATAGCTGAAGTGAAAATCATAAATTTTATAAACTGGAAATAATCGTGTTAAACTTAAAGCTATTATCTATACGATTTAAAAATTGTAAAATAATTTTTTTTCGAAGATGGGTTTTATTATTATACCACAATTTAAGAAAAAAAGGTTAAATTGATTACATGTTGAACTTTAAACTCGAATAACTTTTAAAGGAGAAGACTTAGAGAAAAAACAAAAGACAATTTATTTAGAGCATTCAATTTCCTTCAAAAATATGTATCTATCACCCCGAAATGTAAATTCCAAAATTAGTTAGAAAAATTCTAAAGTTAAAAAATTTTTTTTTTCCATGTTATTTAAATGTAAAATAGAAATTTACGGTGAGAGAACTTTCAAAATTGATATTAAGAGCTCCCGTTTTCACAGGCTTCTTTTTTCATGACTAGGAAGATATTTCACTGCGAATTTTGAAAAAAAAAAAAAAATAGTCGATTTTTTTGAACCGGTCTAATGAAGACTCTCTAGTAAGCTTAAAAAACTTCGTTGAATGCCACCAACTGCGTGAAAATCGGTTCATTTATTCAAAAGTAATTGCGATTTAAAAATTCAAAAAATACTGTTTTATCAAACGTCTATCAAACTTTTGAGCTCGAAGAGCTCAAAAGCACACAAAAGCTATTTTTTAAGCTCGGAGAGCTCAAAATAACGCACAAATTGTATTTATGAGCTCGAAGAGCTCAAAAACGTCATTTTTAAAGTGCAATTTTAAGCGTTGAGGTATAGAATTGACGGGAAGTTGCAGGGATGGCTTTCAGGGTCAACCGTTTTCCTAATTTTTAACTTTTCGCTAAAAATCTCAGATTTTCAAAAATTGGGAAGTTATTGTTTTCACCCCGTTTTGCAAAAATCGAGTTTTCATCAGATCTCGACGTTTTAAGGTCATAGGAAGCTTCTCTGACTACCTCCGCGGTGATGTCTGTATGTCTGTATATGTGTGTGTGTGTGTGTGTGTGTGTGTGTGTGTGTGTGTGTGTGTGTGTGTGTGTGTGTGTGTGTGTGTGTGTGTGTGTGTGTGTCTCTGTAGGGTAGAACAGCTCTTTGCAAGTGAAGCTCGCAGTGCCTCTGGATCTAGCTTCCTGACATTCCACTTCCGCTTCGAATTGTCGCGTTGTGAAACCGGAGCAAATGCCAATCCGACGCTGTATGTCACGAACTGGTGATCACTGCCATTGTATTCTTCGGATACTGTCCAGTCTTCGATCATGTTGGCAATCCTTGGAGTTGCCAATGAGATGTCGAGGATGGATTTTTGGTACCCTGGTCTTCTAAAGGTCGTTGTGCTCCCGGTGTTCAGCACTATGAGGTCGAGTCTAGCTGCGACGTCAGCGACCTCGTTTCCTCTGGTGTCGGAGAAAGCAGCGCCCCATTCAGCCGATTTAGCGTTGAAGTCTCCGGCTACAATAACTTCACCGTCGAGCTTGGTGACCGCATCTTCTATATTTGCCAGTTTCTGTCGGAACACGTTACTCCCTTCGTTAGGTGAGAGATAGACGCTCATGAAGTAGTTTGTGGGGGTTTGGATCCAGACAAAACCTGCTCCACTTCCGCTGTTGTTGACGGTAACGTTCTTTGTGTTTACAATCCAAATTGCTGCCGTGCCCGTTTTGTCTGCGAACCATGTTTTACCTTCGATGTTTAGGTATTGCTCGCAGATAAAGCAGACGTCGATTTTATCTTCAAAAACACGCTGGCGCAGTAGGTTTTGGGCCAAGGCGCACCTATTCAGGTTGCGTTGTAGTATGCGTGTCATTTCTGACCTTTCGTGGCTTCTGCAAGTGCTTTGCGGAATGTCTTGCAAGCTTCAGTGCCAGAAATATGGCATAGACTATCCTGGGCATCTTTGTCCGAATCACAAAGGAAGCATTTTAGCTTCTCCGTGCAGTTTACGGCCTTATAGTTCTCTCCGCCACATTTGTAATAGCACTTGCTTCTGTCTGGTCCCGCGCATTGACGTGTGTGGTGTCCATAACCAAGACATTTAAAACAACGTGTTAGTTTTACTACTGGGCGTATACGACAGTTCACCAAACTGATCCGTATACGGGCCTTGTCAAGGGCCTTAATCGCACTGGGCTCGTCTAGTTCGCAGAAGGCTGCCCGATTACCTCGTGGTGTGGGCTTTGTCAAATTGACCCGTTTGACCTCCAGGCTGTCAGTGAATTCACGTTTGAGTGCTTCACGGACTTGGCTCTCGGTAGAGATTTCATCCAGGTCGAGGATCTCGATCGTTGCTGTTGGTGTTAGCGTCTTAACCGTGCCGATGTTTACAGTGGCTGACTTTACTGCATCGCTGAAAGCCTTACTGTCCTCGGGTTTTCGAGACATTTCAAGGAGAACGCCTCCATGTTTCGTCTTTTTGATAGACTTTATGTCTACGCCCGTCTTGACAGGGCTTACCTTAGCCTTGATTTCTCTGAGGAGATCGGCGTATGTCCGCCTTTCAGCTGGTTGGACAAGCACAGCTTTAGTTCTTGTCCTCTTCCTTCTCGGTTTCTTGGAGCCATCATTGCTTGGCTGGTTTTGGGTTGTAGCAGATTGAGCCGCTGGGTTCTGTTCTCTATCCTTTTTTTTCTTTTGCCAAGTCACTTTAGTCCAAGTATCATCCCGGGCTGGCTTTTTTTGTGCTGGCTTGTCAATTTCTGC